ATGAGCCACTATTTTGTCACACAATTTAAGTAAAACGAGTTTGAACGTATTAAATGTTGAAGATGTTTGCATGCTCGGGAGCAGATTCTGGAGAATGACCAGCTAATCTTTCAGAAAAGCAAAAGAACCAACTTTGCAGAAAGTTTCTGAAAATGACTTTCAGATACCACATACCATAATACCGCAATGAGCAGCAGAAGTGTCATAGAGTTATTTAGTTGGAAACTCCAACCACAAAGCTTAAACAGTATGCAAAGTTCACAGTATATTTAAGAAATCGAGAAACAGCGCAGCAGGAGTTCCCAAAACCTCGCCGCTTTTCCCTAGAGCGAGTCAAGGCTTGTTGACTCCACCAATTGCTGCACCTAGCCTGTCCTTAGGATAGGCTGTGCAAGCCCGTGATGCGAATCCTGGCAACAGCCAAAAAAATTCCTATGATTGGTCGTAAAAGAAGACGTCTCTAGTAAAGTGCGAGGTTACGCTATACGAGGCCAAAATATGGGCAATATGAGACTTTGTGACAACCTAAACATTGAAAATCTGACATTTTGAAGAAGCATTGTGTCCCAATTTTTTCCTTCTCTTTGGTCTTAGTTTAGTCCCTTCACTAGACTTGCAAAGCCTAGTCTGAGAACAGCTAGTAGGAGGAAGCAGTGAGCGGAACCAGAGCTTAACGCTTGAGAGGTGGTGGATCCCAGATGAATACCCGCTCTAGAGAAAAGCGGCGAAGCTTCGGGAACTCCTGCACGCCCTCCAAGAAAGGAGGCTACCGGCACGTGGCCGCAGCCGCTCTTCTCATTCAATACTTCGTAATAATTGTATATAAAAGCTGACAACATAAAGAAGTGAAGACTTACAGTGTCGTCTTGTACGAATGCAAAACATAATTCTAGAGAAACACTTCCACCGTCTTACCTTTCATTTGACTCTTCGATCGTACCACCAAAGTGATATTGTCGCCGATTTTTACAGGGGCGGTAACAGTTGGTGCATAAGGTCCCAAACCATGCTGTATCTCCAGAGACATTTCTGGAGATGGTGCTAAGTACTCCTGGGTGGACACAAGTCGATCGGGTGCCACACTATAGAAAAAAATCGACAATCAAAAATTTATAACAATAAAGTAAATACTGACTCACTCTTTCAGCCCCGTAGAGATTTTGCTCCCACTATCGGTTCGAAATTCAACACCTACCCTTGGTGGTTCTTCAATAAAAACCTTGGCACCTCCTCTAGAACCAACTCTCACTTTCTTGTCCTTTTCTTCTGTGGGTGGAGCTTTGATAACAATATCCTGCGCTTTTGATGTGGCCATTCTGGCTGATTCAGGAATGGGTCTGTGCCACGGAAATGCGGGTATCTCTGTGGCTTTACCTCTGTAAATCATTTGACCAGGGCCAACATTCATGTCAATTTCGTTTCGAGCTAACACTGTCTCAGGGAGCACGTACCCAACACCCACAATGGGGCTTACTGTTGTCCCGGGTAAAGCTGGGATCAACGGGATGGCACTTGTGGTGTGGCGTTCTATTTCTACGGGTGTTTTTAAGGTAAAGAGGTTCTTCACTGGCTCAATGGGCCGCTGAGTGACCATAGCTTGTTTGTCGAAGAATTCGGAAGCAGGGCGGGGCACGTCGCGAGCGGGGATGATTGGGCTGGCTGGAGTGGGAGGCGGAGGTGCTGGGAGGAAGGGATTTCGAGGAGTTGTGGAAGGCACAAGTTTTGGAACAGTAGGATACTCGTCGGGAATCCGACCTCCTCCACCTTCTGACATGGCGATGGTCGCGCCATTACGGGCTGCAAAATTGAACTTCCAAGAAAATCAAGATTAATTTCATATTTTGAGTTTTACCCGGATGATTTGCCGGGATAATTGGGTCCGGAAGAGGTAGTTTAGGCCA